CCCAGTGCCGGGTGCGCGGACTCCTCGGGCTCTCTCTCCCTCGTGGAGCGGGAGCGTCTCTCGCAGGCAAGTCCCCCCACGTGTGGGTGACAAACCACAGTCAGAGGAGTGACGCTGCCTCCGCCCCGGGCGCGGCAAGCAGCTCCGTCTCGGCCGCAAACGGCCCGGGGGACGCGCTCCCTCGCCGGCCGGGTCCCGCTCACCTCTCGGGGCGAAGAGAGCGGGCGCCCCGGCAGACTCGCCTCCTGTGGACGAGGGGCGTGACTTCCGTGCCTGGAGGAAGTGTCTGAACCTACTTTGCCCTGTGGGGTGCCGTGTAGAAAGAGAGGCATCGATTTAGCAAAATATAAATAAGTGAATAATCCCCCAAGTGGGTTAGCTGCGAGAGTCGTTTCTAAGAAGCAGGAATAAAAGGTCGAATGTTCCACGGGAGAATACTTTTCAAGGCAAACATACTAATGAATGCTGGAGACGCAGACATTTGTTGCTTTGAACAGTCGAAAGAAATAAAGGTGAGTATGTCACGTTCACCAGGAAGTGTATTCAAGAGCAAGTCCGGAAAAGCCACAGGAGCGAAAGGAAAAGAACCCGGGCCGGCGGCCCCCAGGAAAGCCGGCTGCGTCTGCTGCGTCTCGGGGGCTGCAGCGCCGAGGGGCCGCCGACTCGGGTCTGGGAACCAGGGTGGCTGCCGCCCCGCAGCGCCCGAGGCTGGGGTCCCCGATCCCGGTGCTCCCAAGGCAGCGCTCCCTCCCTCCGCCGGGGCGGGGGCTCTCCTGCCCGCCCCACCCTCTGCTGGTCCTGCAGGCGACCCCGGTGGCTGCTGGCCTGCACCTGTGTGTCCCCGATCCTGCCTCCTCCGTCACCGCGGGGTGCACCCCTCCGTGTCCCCACACCCCCGCCCCTCTGTGAGTGTCAGTCTCTGTGTCCAAGTCCCCTCCCCTGACGCGCACCCCCGGCCTCCTGCGTGATCCTGTCAGTGAGGCCCACCCTGACGCCCTCCTCGTGACCCCTCTGCACGTGATTAAATGTGCAGAGGCCAGTTCCCAAACAGAGTTGCACCCACAGGTGTGTGCGGGGTCACGCCAGGTCTCCGATACACCTCACGGGTGGGTGGGGGAGATGTTGTGTCTAATGCCACTTTATTCAGGTCGCGTAATTCCTAGAGGATCGACCAGAAACAGGTGATTCAGCGTCAGACTTGATTTCTCCTCGAATTCTCTCCACAATGCTAAGCGTCTCTCCCTGTAACTGGAAGACATTCGAGGAGAGGACACGGTGACTTTGACTCAGACGGACTGTGTCTAAACCGGCAACGAGAGGGTCGTCTGTGACCGGCCGTCAGAGAGCGGTGGGTTTGCTCTGCGTCCTCTCGTGAACGCGGGCGGCCAGGCGGCCGCAGCGGCTCACCGCGGGAACCGTGGCCGGGGCGCCGCCCCCTCTCGGCCAGGAGCCGCTGTCGGGGGTCTGCGGGGTCTGCGAGGCAGAGGAAACGGAACTCGGGGAAGCAGGTCGGTGTCGCACGAATAAATAGTCAGGCTTCCTCCGCGAACTGTTCGCAGCCGGGACCCCATCCCCAAGACCCGTCTTACAATCGAAGGGTCAACAACACAAGGACCTGGATTATTTAGGGGACGTCAAGCACGAGCACTGAAACAATAACACAAAACGGCAGTTTCATCGCTGACGGTCAGCGAGAGTCATCTTCACCGTCACACCACAAAATGCGCCGCCTAGTGCTGGGCGCGGCCTGTCAGGAACCAGCGTCCTCGCCGGGCCGGCCGCGGTGGCCTTAGAATCGCAAGATGCCCTCGGCAGTGACCACCGGGACACTCCGAGAAGGTGCAGGGTTATCGCCCACAAGGCCCGGGAACGGCACAGAACGCCTGGGCCCACTCGGCAGAGGGTGCGGGCTGCGTGGTGGTGGTGGCGGGGGAGAGAGAGAGAGAGCAGGGGCCCGAGCGTCTGCTTCGGCCAGGGTCAAGGGTTAGGGTCAACGGTTACCTGGACTCACACTCTTTTGGTGAATTTAAAACGTAAGAGCGGAAAATTAAAACACGGGGAGAGAGGATGTGGGGAACGTCGTAACGAACCTCAGGCAGCCCTGTCCGCAGATTCGGAGGCGCCGGCGGTCCGCAGTCCGTGCAAAGTGGTGACAGAAACACCCGAGCGTTCAGCCGACAGCCCCCGCGCCCCCCACCCACCAGCCAACCAACCAACCAACCGAAGAAGCAGGAGGAAACTCTAATAAAGCACTTCCCTCCGAATTAAATATTAAAAAGGTAAACGTACAAGAAATCCAAAGTCATAATATGAGATGAAAAACTGGTAAAAAAAAAAAGTAAGAGAAAAAGGTCAAGTCGCATCAAATGAAGACCAAGCTCCAAAACGCCCGCAGAAGCTCGGCTTCAGGCGGAAGCAGCAGACGACGCTGAGGAGCCGCAGAGGCTCCATGAAGCCGACGGAGGGGTGGCTGCAAGGAACAAGAAGGAGATGCGGGCGCAGCGGGGGGCAGCCTGGGGCCCTGTCCCAGTGAGGCTGGGGGGGCGACAGACCTTCTCCCGTGTGGCGGGTGGGCACCCACGCTGCTCACACCCAGGTGGGGCGAGCAGCCGGGAGAACGACGCCCCCACCATGCCCGGGCCTGCGTGCCCACAGCCCGGAAGTCTGTTAACAGTACGTGGCGAAGAGCCCTCGGCCACAACGCGACTGTGGCGCTGGACCTGAGAGGTGGGCGTTGTCCTGTCTGCGCAGCTGGGCCCGATCCGGTCACCTGGGTCCCTAACAACAGAGAACCGTTGCCGCTTCAGAGAACCAGAGAGACGCACGCAGGAGACGGGCCTCCTCTGGCGCCGAGGGCTTGGAGACCCAGGACGGAGCGAATCCACACCCCACGTCTGCAGAGAGGAGGTCTGGGGTCGCACCCAGACCTGTGTCCCTGGGCCAGAGGCTGTGGGCGACATCGGCCGGAAGAGACCCCTGGACGGCGGTGTTGACAAATTTCCGGAGGCCGAGGATGTAGGGATGGCCGAGCCCCGGAGGCCAACGTCGCGGAGGCCTCCATAGTCATCAATGCATAAGACATCCGGGGCCTTGCCCTCAACAAAGGCCTCCTCACCGGGGACGAAGGCCTCCCGGAGCTTCAGCCCACCTGCGAGGAGGGGGCTCCGCCCACCCCAGCCCCTCCAGCCCCTCCAGCCGCCCTGTCTCACCGGGAGGGGAAGACACGGAAAGGCCAGGGGTCAGGGTTCCGGTAAACCCCCGGGAGACGCGAGGCTGGACCACTGATGGAGCACTGGAATGCTGGCCGAGGGCCACCAGGCCACGGAAGACGAGACTTGACTGTAAGATAACAATCCTCCCACCAGGGGGCGCTGGTGTCGTGGGGGGACACAGGCTCTGCCTGGAGGAGAGACGCAGGATCCACCGAAGGGAAGGGAGCCAGCCGGGCCCACAGCCACCGCCCCCCACCCCACCCCCCACCCCCGGGTGACAGGCCCTCGCCCCGCGGGTGTCCGCTCCAGGGCCCAGCGCCGGGGAAGCAGCGTGTCTGACTTTCAGCAACCGCGAGAACGTAAATGTTTGTACTGTGAAATGCCGACAGGCCAGGGGAAAAGCACTCGGCAACAAATCACCAGAGCCGGGCTCAGATGCAACACGCAGGTTGGAATCAACAGGCTGAGAGCTGAAAACAGCCTACGGGTGCGCTCCAGTTGGGCCTTCACTCGGCTGACGTATCGGCTTATCTTTCTGATTTTCTGACGGTGCGCTTTCCTCCCATTCCTCACGTGAAACTCACTTGGTCCTCACGGGCTTCCCGTGTCACACACACTGCTACACTCAGTTTGTTCGTAAGTTCTGGGGAGTTTCACACACGTCTCAGTTTTGGGCATGTCTTCATGAGAAATGCTGGCCTGTGCTTCTCCCTGCTGATGACGTTATATTTTTGTTTTCAGACATTGCAAAACAAATACAGGTGTTTCCATCATTCTCTGGAATAGAAAGAATTCACCAGTGAAACTGTCTGATCTTAAACAGGATTTCTGAGGAAATTTTTAATGTGGATCTAATTTCTACATGAGATATACAGCAATATGGACTTTTTTCTTCTTGGGTCATTCTTCACAAATTTAAAATAACAATAAATATTGGAGGCCAAAAAATGGTTTTTGCTTTTATTTCAGATTCTTTATTTTATAAGATATTTTAAACATGCCCAAAATGAGGAAGACTAGATAGCAGAACAGATAGCACACACCCATTTCTGAGAGTTTACGGTTATTAACATTTTCATATAATTCTTGTATTTTATTTTCTCAAGGGTTCTGAAATAATTCACATGCAAACTTCAGTTTCTCCTTATTGCTTTGCTTTGAAATTAACAATATAATTTCGAAGGAATAATAAATAAAAATGTTAAACTGAAGTTTGATTATTATCACAGATCCGTTTACCTTCATTCATAAAAACCCATGTTTGGGTCGGGAAGAAAGGAGAGAAGAGGAGGAGGATGAGGACGGACAGGAAGAGGAAGAGGAGGAGGAGGAAGGGGTGAGAGAAGGGAGGAAGGAAGAAGAAAAGGAAGAAGTGCACAGGACGTAAAATATACTGATAAACTCCGGCAACACAGGAAGAAACCAGGTCCTCAGCCGATGACCGTGTTGACACAGCCCAGAGGTTCCTCATGAGGACCGGGACTGAGGCTCAGAACAGGCCGCCCCCGTCAGACAAGTTCACTGTCAGACCCCAGAGCTGGAGAGACGCTGCTCGGCTGGAAGGGGACGACCCTCCCTCCTGCCAGAAGTGGACCCGAGGACCATGGCTGAGCGGTCACCAGCATCCAGTTCCCCAGCCTCCCTCCCCTGGGTGTCAGAAGCCAGGTGGTCAGACAGCAGTGGGGTGATCCGGGCAGGAGACGCAGCCTGCAGGTGGTGGGCGTGGGTCCAGGTGCACTGGCCTTGCAGAAGTCCAGGTGCACACTCAGGAGGTGGTCACAGACTCATTCAGTAGAAGCCAGAGGACCAGTACCTTCCATAGCAGCACGGACGCCAGCAGCCGCACGCATAGCCTCTGTAGCCACAGCCATAGCCCAGGCCACCGAAGCCACCATAGCCATAGCCAGGGCCTCTGTAGTAGCTGCCGTGGTAGCTCATGGTGTCAGGGAGATGACTGAGGCCTGATGTCATGGGTCGGTTTCGTGAGTGTGACAGCACAGAGAGACATTTCAATGCTCGGGTGGGCGTGGGAAGCCCCACCTGTGAGTGTCATCCACAAGGACAAGTTCCTTGAGACTTGCGTGGATCACCTGATTTCCTGACAGTGACCCGTGCCTTCCCCTGGTCCGTGTGACCAGTTATTGAAGAGGCACCTGACGTGTTTGTGTGCTTTATGTGGATTCCTAGAAAGATATTTACCGTCCATGAGATGCTGCCGTGTTTTTATGATCCGCACACTTGTTTGCGTTTCTGAGTGTCACACCCCATAAATAGTTAATCTCTAGGACTTCAGAGAGTCTTCCAGCTGCACCGCGTGGGCTGCGTCTGCCCTAATTGCGCCCTCCCCGTGACGGCCTGCGGCCACTCGCTCTCTCCTAAGCCAAGGGCGCTATGGTCCTTATCCCAGGAACACACACACACCGGAGCCCATTCTTCCCCGAAACACGGGTCCCGTGCGAGATCGCAGCGGCCGTGACGCACCTCGCACGGCAGCACGCTCTTCCTCTCGGCCGAGAGCCACACGCACCCACGTTTAACCTTCGAGGGAGCCACAGGCCGAAGTCGAAGCAACTCCCCAGACACCGCAGGTCCCGCGGGAGAAGCCTGCTGGGGAGACGCCGCTGCAGCCTCTATCAGAAGAGTTCCTGCTCATCCGTGTGAACGTTCCCTGCGGCACTGCCACAGTCCCGCTTAGTTACTGGCTCAAGGTCAGGCAGCTGGCTGGCGGCTGAGATGAGCTGAAAGCCACTCCTTTTGGCTCAAGAACCTGCACTTCCGAGCGCAGTGCAGGGCGCGCCCTGAACACCGTCCCTGTCAAGGCCTTCGGGGGGAGCGTGGCTTCAGAGGAAAGTCCTTCACATTCACACGAGAAGCACAGGCTGTGAAAAACACGATTCTTTTTAAAAGGAAATTAAAATCAATGCTTCAAACATTTCTTTTTCTATCCACTCTGGTGGGCTCGGAACGTCGCCTGTCTGAATGCCGCAGGACGCTGTCGTGGGTGGCGACCGATGTAATGCTGTCACCCAGAAGTTCCTAGGGGACCCACTAGCCTGCATGGCTTTCTAGTGGGTGATCTGTCACAGAGACATTCACCTAGCGATTCATCAAGGAAACTAGAATGAAAATGACTGTAATTCAGAAAAAGCTGTTGTAAATGTTAAAGGGGAGCATAAAGCACTTTGAAAAGAATACGATATTCTCTACCAAGTAAAAATATCCTTCACTGATGTTTGACTTAAGGAGAGTTCAATGAAAGCCTTCGGCAATATATTTATGATTAGAACCTATGGCCATTAAACTACTGTCTTTCTTACACGGTCAGTTCTGCAAATTCGATCTTTAGACTGATAATGGTTACAAAACCGGGCTGTGATTCTTCCAAGTCATCTCCCATCGTTTTCATATCTGCACTCGTAGCAATCCTGCCCGACGGTCACCACTGTCCCCGATGATCGCGACGACCACAGTCGGCCGCCCAGCCCACCCCCACGTCCAGTTTCGGAGCGAGCCTCCCGGAAGCTGTGGGATGGGTGGGTACTCCCTGGGCCAGCTGCCTCCAGCCATTGGCTGCAGGGAGACGCCGCCCAGACTGCTCAGCCTGACACACACACTGTGCCTCAACACAGTTGAATCCTCCCTTTTTTCTTTGTAATTTTTTTGCAATATGTTGACTGACCTCTGTGTGTCCTCCTTGGAGAAGGGTCTGTTTAAGTCCTTTGCCCACTTTTTAATTGGAGAGTTTTTCTTCCTGGAGTGGAGTTGTGTGAGTTCTTTGCATATTTTGGAGATCAAACCCTTGTCTGAGGTTTCATTGGCAAATGTGTTTTCCCATACGGTTGGCTCCCTTTCCATTTTGCTGATGTTTTCTTTAGCCATGCAGAAAGTTTTTAATTTGATGAGATCCCATTTGTTTATTCTTTCCTTATATCCCTTGACCGAGGGGACATATCGGTGAAAATATTTTCTCATGGGATATCTGAAATTTTTCTGCCTATGTTTTCGTCTAGGACTTCTATGGAGGGCCCATGGTCACATGAAAAGATGCTCAGCATCACTGGCCATCAGAGACATGCAAATGAAACCCACAGTGAGAGACCACCTCACACCGGTCAGAATGGCCATCATAAACACATCAACAAACAACAAGTGCTGGAGAGGACATGGAGAAAGGGGACCCCAGTGCACTGCTGGTGGGAATGCAAACTGGTGCAGCCGCTGTGGGAAGCAGTATGGGGTTTCCTCAGAAAACTAAAAATGGATCTGCCTTTTGACCCAGCAATTCCACTGCTGGGATTGTATCCTAAGAACCCTAAAACACCAATCCAAAGAACCTGTGCACCCCGATGTTCACAGCCGCACAATTCACAATAGCCAAGTGCTAGAAACAACCTAGGTGCCCATCAGTAAGTGAGTGGATCAGAAAACTGAGGTACATTCACACGATGGAATTCTATGCAGCAGAGAGAAAGAAGGCGCTCCTACCCTTTGTGACACCGTGGATGGAGCTGGAGAGCACTGTGCTCAGTGAAACAAGCCAGGCAGTGAGAGACAAATACCATATGATCTCACCTTTAACAGGAACCTGAACAACAAAACAAAGAAACAAGCAAAATATAAGCAGAGACACTGAAATAGGGGACAGGCTGACAGTGACGGGGGGCGGGCAGAGGAGGGAGATAACGGGGAAGAAGGGGAAGGGTCAAGCAAAGGAACGCGAGTAGAGGGCTCATGGGCGTGGTCAACGGGGGGCTTGACTGCGGGAGTGGGGGGAGGGGAGGGGGAGGGAAAAAGCGGAGTACTGTAACTGAACAACAATAAAAAGTATATCTTAATAAAAATGTTTATTGATTTTAGAGAGTGGAAGGGAGTGAGTTGGTTGTCTCCCATATGCAGTCTGATTCTGACCAGGGATTGAACCCGCAACCTAGGCATGTTCCCTGACCCAGAATCGGACCCCCCACCTTTCGGTGTGTGGGAGGATGCTCCGGCCACCGGAGCCACCGGAGCCACCCGGCCGCAGCAGCATGCTCTCCGGTCGGACTTCTCTTTAACGCTAAGTTCAGGCAGGGAGCGCTCCCTGGCTGCGAGAGGTTCGGTGCGATGCCCCTCCTGGGAGGCGCACTGCACCCAGTACCTCACCCTCCCTCACGAGTGAGCCCAGAGACTGTAACTGAGACAGTAACTCCTTCCGTCTGAGCTGCAGGGCCATCTGGGTCACAGGGAACTTTCTGTGTCTCTGCCTCCGGTGTTCAGTGCACTCCGGGCCCGCGTGATGACATGTTATTCTCGGGGGTCTGACGGGACAAGTGAGTGATGGTGTCCATCCTGGGAGGCACTGTCACCAGGGTGACACCACGCACAGCCCTGCTGAGTGAGCTTGGCTCCGGCTGACACAGTTCACAGCACGGTTCTTCCCAGGTGCCAAGCCCGAGCTGTCTAGGAATACGAGTTGCTTTGCAACGTGGACTACTGCATACTTACTTTGTAAATTTACAGAACTTCTGGTCTCAGGCCCTTGAACTTGTACTACAGGTGACCTGTCTTGTCTCCTGTCCACCATTGTCACTGAAAGCTGCCCCCACCGTTCCAGGAGTGGACCTCGGAAGACACCCACTGTGTCTGTGTGCAGTGACACAGCAGACACACGACTACTTTATTTTCATGATGATCTGAGGTTCTGGAAAGAAATTAAATGTGGCGTCTCACGGAGGTTTTTCACCCCGTTTTTCCAAATGTTATGTGCTTCTGCCTTTGATCAGTGCGGTTTCTAGAATCCAGAGCTAAGGATGCAACCCACATAATTGATACGTAAGTGGGTCAGAGGGCCTTGCAGAAGCTGCCGTTCCCGCTAAGGCATTTCGTGAGAACTCCTGTCCTGACGGCTGAGAAAGAAGTTCCCGGAAGAGGCAACAGAATTCCATTTGGCAGGATGCTGCCACCAGTGACGCCGTTCTGTGTGTGCTGTTTTTATGTGAGTGCGTGGTGACGCAACTGGAGGCGGAACCGATGGGGGAACAGAGCAGCGGGGCGGGCGCGGGGGCTCCGTGAAGCCTGGACACAGAAACACGCTCACGCACGAGCCCCGGGCGGGACTGGGGCCCTTTAAGTAGAGTCACACCCGGAGTCACGGACGTGCAATCGGTCCGACTATCGGGGGAAGCACTAACCAAGGGAGCGGCGTTCCCAGGAGCCAACGCCTGCAGTTGGCAAGGGTCTGTGTGGACTCCGGAGGTAAGGACTTCCTGAGCCGCACACTGACATACAGCGCAAAGCCCCAGGTTCCTGTAAACCGGGCCGGCAACTTGGCCAACCCATCGCCACCAATGGCGAAGGCCGTTTGAGCGTCTCAGGTGTGGCTGAGTCCAGAGGAGCGGCCGCAGTAGAAGAGACCCAGTCACAGCACCGCTTCCGACAGCACCGGAGCGCGACCTGCCCGGAGCCCGGAGCCGGAACGGCAGCGGGACAGCTTGCACAGCGAGCACTAACAGCGCGGGGCCGTGGACAGAGGTCCCTCTGAGGACCAGAGACCGGACCAGAGCAGGAGCGGCTGGGCGGACACCCTGCCGACAAAGTGCTCGGAGAACTGGACTGCCCCCCAACCCCCCCGCAGGCTGACACCGGGTGACAGCCATGCCACCATCGCCAGGCATGGCCCAACCGCAAGCATGCAGACACACTGCGGACGGACACACGGAAGCCCAAGCCGCTTGCGGGGACGGGAAGCCCAGCTTCGAGGCAGAGACAGGACCCAAGAACACACCGAAAGTGCTGGGGGAGAGATTTTAATGCGACGCGGATTTCCACATCTCCGTGGACAGTCTGGAATGAGGGTGCTGCCAAAGTATGAATCCACAAGGAGCGTCGTTGCCCAAATGCCCCCCCACCCCACCCCACTGGAGTTGCAAGTTCCGGTGACTGTCCGTTCGGTGCGGGGTACTGAAATCTCAGGTGGTCCCGGCGGCCTGGGGCTGGCCCATAACTTCAGCATCCGAACCAGGTGCCGACAGAGGGGCGTGTCCCGGGAGGGTCAGCGAGGGGACCCCGGTCATGGGCAAGGCCGCTCAGTAGTAGCCGGAGGACCAGAACCTCCCGTAGCAGCAGGGCCGGTAGCAGCTGTACCCGCACCCGCCGTAGCCCCAGCCCAGGCCCCCGAGGCCGCAGCCCCAGCCGCCGTAGCCGCAGCCCAGGCCTCGGTAGCAGCCGTAGCCGCAGCCCAGGCCCCCGTAGTAGTTGCCGTAGTAGCTGCCGCAGCAGCTCATGGTGCCGGGAGGTGAGGGTTGGAGGACAAGGCGAGTCTGTGAGCAGGATGGCAATGTGGCCGCAGCTGGGCCTTTTATACACCCCGGGGCCGCGGGCGTGACCAACAAGCAGCCCTGCTTGTGTTTGACACCTGATTGGCACGAAAACTAGGTCATTACCCTTGTGGCCACCAGACAGGAGGCCCTCACACCCACTCGTCCCCGAGTTCTTTATTGCTGCCTCCGAATTCCTCACAGTGGACGGAGGCCTTGAGTAATAAAACCGCACTCACGGCCGCCGCGAGCTCTGCGGCCGAGCTCCCTGCCTTGGCGTCCCGGAAGCCACACTCGCCGCTCGATCTTGCTGAGAAATGGGCCCACGCCCCACGGTGCGTGCAGGGCGCGGGCCGCCCGGCGGGCGCGCAGGGCCGCTGGTGTTCGCCAGCCACGCGGTCCCCGTTTTCGTTTCGGGAGAGGCGCCCGACGCCCAGACAAACACGGCCTTCTGCCTCGTTTTAGTTCTCGGCAGAACTGACTCTGGCGCTGGACGGCCGGTCGTGCGTGCAGGCTGGTTCTCGGCGCGGCCTTCCTCCCGGTCCGGGCGCTTCCCGGGGGCGCTGTGCTGCTGAGTTTGACGCGCGTCCGCGTTTCCTAAGCGTGAGCGACCTAAAAGGTGTTTGCTGGTGGAAAGTAGGTGTGTCTATAATTTGTGTGTGTGTGTGTGTGACACTTGTGTGTGTCTTTAAAGGCACACGTGCAGAGTAACTGTATGTATCGACAGGTGTATCCTGTACACCAACACCTAAGACACACGGGTCCCTCCTCACACTCTCCGTAACCGATCCCCTCGGTATTTCCTAGTGACACCCGGGGTCAGTGAAAGGCACATCGGGGAACATTCAGCCAACCCCGGGAAGGCGTGCGAAGCGTCAGTGACACCAACTGTGCGCAGGGTCGCGATGTTCTCCGCGCTGCACGAGCCGCCGCCAACACCTGAGATGAGGGCCGCGCCACGTTCTCACCGAGTCCGGCCTGGCGACACGGCCCGGGCTTCCCGTCGGGTCTCCGCGTCGCCACCCACAACGCCAACTGCAGCTCCGCTCGTGCTCGAGAAGCGTGTGCACCGCCAGCCGCTCACGGCTGACGTGAGGAGGAACGGCGGTGGTGTGAGGAGTGGCGTGTAAACGCGACCAGAGAGTTCCATGTACCGGGGAAGGGTGCGAGCGTCTCTGTGGGATGAAGTTATTCGAGACACGACACGGTTTTTATGGGCAGAGGTTGTGTTAAATATCCGACGCAAAATCTCTAGGTCGTTTTCCCGGCAATCCCGACGGTGACAATACTTTGGCAAGATAAAGACATGCTTTTCCCATGAAGTGACTCTGTGGACACTCAGCCACGGAAAGCGAGCGATTCTCTGTTTCTGTGTTTCCCGAAGTGGCTGCTGCGATCCGAGTTCGCTGTTGCGTGTCGTCGTCAGTGTGAAAACCACGCACAGGCGCTGCAGAGGGACGCTGAGATGAGGCGACGGCAGCCTCCACCGTCAGCACCGCCGCAGACCGGGTTCCCGCGGCGAGGGCCGGCGCGCCTGGAACGGGAGCGGGCGGGGGCGGGGGCGGGCCCGCGGAGGGCGCATCCCGGCCGCGGGAGGGCGCACCGCGCGGTCACACCTGGCCACACGAGCACATCACAGCAGAGACCGGGAGAGCAACAAAGACTGCGCTGAGGCGGGCTGTAGCAAAATAAACATTATACCCTTCAAGACCCTTCTGTACACGCCGCCGGAGCCTCTCCGAAAGTATTGGCGGGTAACAGCCTATTGCACTGCGACGCCAGTGTCACGCAGCGATGGAGTGAGCGCGGAGCGCGGGTGCCAGGGGTCGCGTGGTGAGCACCGCGCGGAAGGACACGGAAGGCTGGAACGAGTGGAGTTTCACGTCTCCTTTATTACGTGAGAAGATAACATGCAGAAATGATGATAATTCCTCCCGGTTTTAATTTATAAATGCAGTGGGGCCCTAACTAGTTCCAGAATTATCTCAATATCTATCTGAAAGAGTGTATAGTCTTCCACATTAGAACGTCCCCAGCAGGTACTAAAATATGTAAAAGAAAACAGCACGGCACCTTTGTTAGAATTAACCGTTCGTGAGAAGGCACTAAAAACTTCAATTTATCTTCAAGTGCGTTCATCTCCTGGTGGTTTCTTTGGGGATTTTGTGGCTATAAAGGAGGGCATTAACTGTTTAGTTGTCTTTTGTGCTATTGTTTTTAAGTCTAAGTACAAACGTAATGTTAACTTTACACAATGTATTTCCCTACTGGCCCATCTAACCTTTGACAACCTAAAACAATGCCTCTGAAATATTTGTTGGAAATATTCTGATTTACTTCCATAATTACTGTTCTAATTAAGTTGCCCATCTCAAAATATTAAAACATTTATAGAGTTAAAGCACAACTCTTAAAATATGCAGTGGGGCCCTAACTAGTTCCAAAGCACAACTTTTTAAAGCTCTTAAAATATTTATAGAGTTAAAGCACAACTTTTATTGAGATGTTTGTAGCTTCTTGGCATGCAACCTGAATGTTGTTGACCTACAATGTGGGAGAAAAACTCTTCTGTAATCATTTTATATTTTCTTGCTTATATTTAATTTCTTGTACACACACACAATTTACACCCCAGATCTTTTTTTAATTTCTTCAACCAACTGATCTATTTATTGACTCTACTATCTTTCTACATTCTAATATTTCGCTGTTTGCTTTAATTTTGTAACTTCCTCTTTGCATGTAATTGCCTTTTTGGCCGCCTCCTAACTTTTGAATTTCATAAATATACCTTTAATTTTATTCCTTTAATTGTTAATGTCACATAATAAACATACTTAAAGCACTGACTATGTTTCATTTTATACATTGAGAAGTTTAAATTTTTATATGCAATAAAACAGATTTTCTGTTATTTTCATACACAATAAAACAGCCTTTCTGTTATTGTCATGTGCAATAAAACAGACTTGGTTTTATTGTTTTATACTGGATGTTTTCTTCTGCTCACGACTTAATTAAAATACATATTTCAATAAAGTTTTTAGTGAACCAGTCTCTGGTGTTTTATCATCATGGGTTGATAAATACCACTTAAAAATATCTGTTAGTTATTGAGCTTCTTCTGAGACATGGATTATGCTTGCTGTTTTTCTTTTCTTTTTATTATCTAAATACATTTTATTGATTAGGCTATTAGAGTTGTCCCATTTCCCCCCTCTGTTCCCTGCACCCCCTCCCACACACACCCCCGCCCTTCATTCAGGTCCGTGGGCTGTACATGTGAGATCTTCGGCTTCTCCATTTCCTACACTGTTCTTACCCTCCCCGTGTCTGTTTTCTACCTGCCATCTGTGCTTCTTATTCCCTGTACATTTCCTCCCATTCTCCCCCTCCCCTCCCTACTGATAACCCTCCCTGTGATCTCCATTTCTGTGATTCTGTTCCTGTTCTAGTTGTTTGCTTAGTTTGGTTTTTGTTTTTGTTTCATTTTAGGTTTGGCTGTTGATAGTTGTGAGTTGGTTGTCATTTTACTGTTCATATTTCTTACCGTCTTCTTTTTCTTAGTAAGTTCCTTTGACATTTCATTTAATAAGGGCTTGGTGATGAAGAACTCATTTAACTTGACCTTATCTGGGAAGCACTTTATCTGCCCTTCTATTCTAAATGATAGCTTTGCTGGGTAGAGTGATCTTGGATGTAGGTCCTTGCCTTTCATGACCTGGAATACTTCTTTCAGCTTCTTCTTGACTGTAAGGTTTCTTTTGAGAAATTAACTGACAGTCTTATGGGAACTCCTTTGTAGGTAACTCTCTCCTTTCCCCTTAGTGCTTTTAAGAGTCTGTCCTTATCTTTAATCTTGGGTAACTTAATGATGATGTGTCTTGGTGTGTTCCTCCTTGAGTCCAACTTCTTCGGGATTCTCTGAGCTTCTTGGACTTCCTGGAAGTCTATTTCCTCTGCCAGATTGGGGAAGTTCTCCTTCATTGTGTTTTCAATAAGTTTTCAGTTTTTTGCTCTTCCTCTTCTCCTTCTGGCATGCCTATGATTTGGATGTTGGAACATTTGAAGTTGTTCCAGAGGTTCCTAAGCCTCTCCTCATTTGTTTGAATTCTTGTTTCTTAATTCTGTTCTGATTGAATGTTTATTTCTTTCTTTGTTCCAAACCGTTTATTTGAGTCCCAGTTTCCTTCCTCTCACTGTTGGTTCCCTGTACACTTGCCTTTATTTAACTTTCATAGCCTTCACTTTTTTCTCTATTTTGTGACCATACTCAATCATTTCTGTGAGCACCCTGATTACCAGTGTTTTGAACTATGCATCTGATACGTTGGCTATGTCCTTGTCACTTAGTTGTACTTTTTTCTGGAGTTTTGATCTATCCCTTTATTTGGGCCATACTTCTTTGTCTCAGCACACCCATTATGTTGTAAGGGGCAGAGCTTTGGGCATTCACCAGGGCAGGGCAGCCCACAGGGCTGTGTTGTGGCGCTGTGTGGGGGGGAGGGGTCCGAGAGGGAACACTGCCACTTGCTCGGCTCTCCGCCGGCTCTCAGTCACTGCCCCAGCTGCCCACAGTCAAATTGGGCCCTTCTGCTGTTGGCTCCCGGGTGGGTGAGTCTGTGTGTTGTAGGACCCAGTGGGTCTCTCCAACAAACTCTCCTGTGAGGCTGGGAGTTTCTCCCACTGCCTCACCCCCCACAGGTGTTTTCAGTCCATTTTTGAGAGTTTATCTCCCTGAGCTGGAGCCCTGGGCTGTGTGGTCTGTCTTGCTGCCTGGTTGTTCCTCCCGGTTTATCTGCGCCCAAATGTGAGTCCATGTGGTCCGCCAGCGGCCGCCTTGCCAAGAGTCCTGTCCTCCCGCTGCCCGTCTCCGGCCCTCCCACCCATCTGGGTGAAAGTTTCTTCCTTAACTCCTTGGTTGTCGGACTTCCATACAGTTTGATTTTCTGTAAGTTCTGGTTGTT